AAGAGGATCGGAAGAAACTCTGGACCTGAACACTGATAAGTCTGAAGTCGAGCCCTGCTGTTGTTTAGCCCTCTGCCAACTACTAGCCTCTGGACCCTCCTGGTTCCCTCCCTCTGCTGCAAGCCTGAAACACGACACAGAGAACCCTGTGTGACCAGTCCCGGATCTGTTTCCCAGCATCTGTACATTAATATTGTCTTTGTTTTAATAAACAGTCAAACTTTTCATCTGACTCTGTGTGTGTTCTGCATATGGGTTAGGAACCTAATCCCATCATGACAATAAGCAGTTAATGATGCCACAGAGTTAAACAATCTACAGTAGCAGCCATTCAAAATGGCCCTTCCCTGTCAAACGGCCGCCAACTTCCAGCCACTGGAGTGACCCGCCCTTCAGTACATTTTTACTGACTCCACCCTTTCACTTACAGGGTCTGACCAGGAGATGGCGCTTCTCTTTAGATCTTAATGTCCACAAATTATGATGGAAAAAAAATATTTCAGTACAAAGATTGATGTTTAAAAATGAATCTAAGGGGACCGGCCAAGGGCCATTCAAGGACAGAGAGGAAGTTAGAATGGCTGCTTCTGCAATTGCTGTATTTCAAGGGAAAGATTTCTCCGACATCTTTGTTTCTAATAGTCCGAATTTGTTGAAATGCAGGCAGAGGATTTCTCTCCTGTCCTCTTTGTTGTTTCTAAGATCACAAATGATTTTTTTCCGGCAATTTAGGGAATTTAAGACTTATTTTATGGACCTTTGAGTCATTCATTCTTTTATTATTCCAAAGCTGACTAGAGTAGTAACCTTCATCTGCATACTGTTGGAAGTTCTGAATTTATTCCAGGGATGAACCCCAATCACCCACTTCCTTTTGTCTGAACTTATTCCAAACAACGGTATGATTTAATTAGAATAGAATAGAAAAGGAAATCCCTTTGTTATCCCAAAATGGGGAAATTCTGGGAAATTATCAAATACTTTCTGTTTCTTTAAGGAAATAAAACTTTTTAAGGTTCGAAGCATAATATTGACCATGTGTGGATCAGACTGCTGGTCTGTGCTCTGTTAGCAAACCAGGCAGAAGCACTGGAAGACCACTATAGCGTAGATAACTCTAGAGAGTATTGGTAATGTGAGCTAACAGCAGTTTATTGAGGACAAATCCAAGACTTTACTTACAGTTCTGAGAGCTGCAGATCTTCAAAGACCTGCCAGGACAACGTCTTCAACATATAGTTCCTGGACAGATTTCTGATAGAGGCATTGAGAAAAGAAACAAGAAGAAATTAAATCTACATGGGAGGAGGAGAATCAGCTATGAATGGATTAGAATTTTATCTAAAGTGGTCAAACAAAAAAAGAGCATAAATCTGATTTTTAAAGGAAAAGTCCGCTCATATTTAGAATTCAAACTTCTGAAAGTTCTTTAAATATAAAATTATTACATCCGGTTCAATAAATGATCAG